GTTTATGTTCTCTTGCTGGTTGGCTAATTAAAAAAGTCTCTTTATGTCAATTATGCACAAATATTTTATCTCAACCATCTGCTGAAATCTGTGGTAATTTTGATGAATTTGTCTATACTAAGAAATATGAAACAAAAAATCATTCAATAGAACCAAGTTCTTGTTTACGCGAAGTTGTAAGAGTAATGGAAGCCATTTTCACTAACAACATTAATAAATTAATTATATGCAAAAATATAGCAGGAACTATCATTAAAGCTATCAAGAAAGACTGCAATTTCGTTTTTTTATACAACCTCCACCCAAAACATGCATCGCATTTGGAGAGAAAACTGATACACTATTTTGTTGATATTCGAATTTATTATTTCATCAAATTTTACAATCGTGACATAGCTCCACATTATAAAAAATGTCTTAAAAAAATGGCTCGTATTACTCATAAATAGTAAAAGATTATATTTAGTTAAAAAATGTGTATTTATTTATAATGTACGAAATTGAAATTATAAATTCTAATATCCTTTAATTTTTTTATATTATATATAAGATTAGGATAATAAAAATAGCAAAAACATATATAAAAGTATAAAAAAACAATATTGAAAAAATATCAAAACTAGAAGGAACGTTTGAGTTGTTTTATACTAACAGAGCTCAATAAACAATTCATACAGCAGTTGTATAATTTTAGGCTACTAAATAAAATGTCTAAATATTGAAACATTTACAAAACTATAATATAGCCTTATTGTAGGGTTGTTAAAAATTTTTCTTATGTTTAGTTGAAACCCTGATTGCTGTCTACCATACAGTTATATTATAAACCTTCTAGCATACTGCAGAGGGTAGTTAAGAATTGAAACGTACATATATTGAAAAAAAAAAACAAGTTTATATAACTAATACGTTTACTTCGTTAGACAATGTAACATTTGTAACAATGTTACATTGTTCAAATGATTGTTACAATAATTTTTACATTGTTAGTAAACAGTGTAGCAATATACAATTTTAAAAAAGCTGTAATATATAAGTTTAAAATAGTATGACATTTAATTTATGGCATTTAATGTTTGTATTTTTGTTATATTTTGAACATTAAAAATAAAATTGAATGTTATTTTTTATTGTTCAAAATATAACAAAAATACAAGCTTTAAATGCTATAAAAAGTTTTATACTAACATATTCCCGCGTTTTCAAAATAAACCATTTAGTTTACAAGTAAAAAAAGATTGATGCTACATCTTATTAAAGCATTATTGTTTAAAAATAAGTTAAACCATCTTTACAAAAGCATTATTCTGTCAAATTGTATTTACATACGTATTGTTGTTTACAAATCTGGCTGTACTAGACATCCCAGAATCCCCGTTCGCCGAATTACAAGAAATCGAGCGAGTCGTACACCACTGGTTACAACTTTAAATTACAACTTTTAAATTGTAACGGCTTTTAAAAACTTTTTTTTTTTTTATATTTTTAAAAATCTTAAATTATCTTATATTTAAATTATCTTTTGAAATACATTAACTTTAATTATTCTTAAATTTAAATTCGTTAAAAAGACTTTCACAATCGTAGAATGTCATCGTTTATAAAAACAAAACAATTTTTATTTTTTAATAACATTTATTTTGAAAATAAACACTTAAACAATTTATGTGTTATAAATTAAAAAAATATATACAACTGTCAATTATATTTTTAAAAATAAAAACATTTTCAGTAAATTGTTACTTTATTTAAAATTGTTTCACTAATATAAAAACATTTGTTTAGAAGTTTTGATGTAATTCATTTCACTTCTTTAGAATATTTTTCATTTAGCGCGTTTTTAAAATGTTTTTTGAATTAGCTGCGGTCAAACCGTCATAGCAAAATGTAATTTGCGTGGTCATATAAAGACGTGAAATCGCACGCCTTCCTGTGAAAGCCTGTATATGTATATATATATATATATATATATATATATATATATATATATATATATATATATATATATATATATAATATATATATATATATATATATATATATATATATATATATATATAGTTATATACTCTTGCTTTGTCATTTTTAATTTTCCCGTAAAATGTCAACTTTATATTTTTAAATTTATTTAAACGATGGAAAAGGTTTTAAAACTTAAAAAGTTTTTCTTTTATTACTTGATAGATTGCCTGCCCAAATCAAGCCCTCAGTTGATGTAGCAGCACTCTCTTGTAGTAGCAAGCTATAAGACAATCGATGTAGCAACACTCCTTGCATGTTCTTTTTTTTTTTTAAATTATTCACCTCCTTAAGGCCGAGAAGGCCACTACAGACTACAAACGAGCTACTTTTTGTTGTTACAACATTCTCTCAACTCTATAACTCCGAAACACAAACCTTAACGAACATGACCACTGCACAGAGAAACAAGTTGAGCACGGTACTACCAGGGATGTGGTGGGGATCAAACTTGGAACTTTTCTCTTATGAGGCAAGCGCTCTACCACTACATCTACCATTACCGCATTCTATTGTAATAATAAAAACATTAAGAATATATTTTTTATTTTTTAAAAAAGAATTAAAACATTTTGTATGTTTTTAAAAACTTTCAAAATGTTTTTTAAAAACATTTAAGCCTTTCAATTTGCATTTTTTTTGTTTTTTAAAAAACATATATTTAATTAGTTTCCTTAATTAAAATAATTAGTTTTGATATAAATAAATAATTATATACATACATACATACATTGACGAGATTAAATAATTTTTTTTTTTAACCTGATGATTGCAAAATGCATGAAACAATTTAGTTGTAAAAATTATGTAGTTATTTTTATTTAATCTTGTCAAAAAATCAATTATATAGCTCTGATACCATTTATCGAGCACTTTTGCTGAATATATGCACACAGCAAAAGTAAATTGTATATATATTGGTATCTTACTTACTGTATGATACCAAAATATATATATATATATTGGTATATTACTTACTGTGTTAATTTTCATTTACTATATATATGTATGTTTGTGTTGTCTGAAGCTTTGATGCGGTTTTTTTCCGTAAGTAACGTATGTTTGTGTTCTGGTTTTGATCTTGGATGCAGTATGAGCTCAGTCACCAACTAGTGACTTATAAAACCTACCCTCTCCTTAATTTCTAGTATTCTGTTAGATGTAATATTTTTCTTAATGCATTTCCAAAATATCCCTATCAACTACTCCAGGTCAGGTTCAGGATCATCACAATTACTCAGCTTCTGGTATTATTTAACCCTGTTCTACCTGCCCCATGCCTTTCTGCCTTTTAGGGTTGCTTTTTTTTAAGGCAAAGCTAAGAGTAATAAAGTACGACTTAAAATTCCTGTTTTGAGGCTTTTGTTTGAGTAAAGGCTAGAGATGGTGTCTATAAAATGCTCATCTTTGGCAGATGTTAACTGCATCCAGCTACTGTCTTATATAAAGCCTCTTAGGCAAAGATTTTAGGGGTAAGCAGAATAATTCTGTTGACCAGCTTCAAACCTCTTTCTCATCTATTAGGCTGATGTAGATGTAAACCTGTGTTACATTGATTCCTGCCTAGGATGATGAATGCTGGATCTTTTTGACATAAATTTTTGCTTGTGCCTCCTTCCTGTTATTTCCTGAGATTGAGGCTCTAAAAGGCAGTTTAATGATTCGGTGGCTGCCTTGTAGTAAGGTTTTCCAAACTTTATGCTAGCTCTCAGAGAGGCTGATTTCATCAACAGCAGTAAAATATTAGAGCATTCACAGTGTCATGTTGTGCATGAATAGTGTCCTTGTTAATGCTTTTGGTGCGCATTGTCAAGGCTATAAAAGGTCCTATGTTATGAATTTTAGTTAATTAACAGGACTGAGACAACTGCATAGCACATTGCTTGGGATGCTGTGCTCTATCTATAAATGAGTCAAGTTCTCTTTAAACTTAAATCATGCCAAAACTAATCTTAAATTTAAACATAAAAAATCATCCCCACTGCCTAACTTTTTTTAACCAAAAGTATTTGTGGTCCATAACTTCTGCATTTCTAATCACTTTCCTTCACGCCTTGATTTGTCTCTGACCTTGTTTTTTTCTCCTTGGTTCTTCTTTAGTTAGGTCCCAACTATGCAATGATCTCTATAAATCATTTATCTCATACTTCGTTTTTGGACTCACCCTATCATTGCACTACTTACTTCTACCCTAAAGCCGAATGAGATTATTTTTGTGATTTTCTTTGTGATGGTCCTTAGGCTGATGTCCTTTTTTCTCTCAGCTGATAAATGCATCTCCTACATAAACTATGTATTCATTTTTATAGACTATTCGAAAAATATTAAAATTCGAGTGCTGTGATACTGGAGGCATAATCAAACAAAATTTAATGCTTTTTTATAATAAAAATACTTTAATTGCAGTAAAAAAATGTTCATCAAGGTGATTTAATTTTTAGTTTGATCCATAATCTAGTGAATTCAATCACAATATAGTGAGATTTTATTTCAAATTTTTTTCTAGTTGATTGGGGTTTTATTTTTGTGCACAATTGTTACCAAATTTTTATACTGAGCAATTATATCTTTTCATCCCTAGAATGGTGTACTTATAGATATGAGCAATTATATCTTTTCAACCCTACCTACCACGGTGTACTTATAGATATGAACCTTTGTCATATCTATAAGTACACCATGGTAGGTAGGGTTTTACAGAACTGCCTACTGTTAGGTAGGGTTTTACAGATCTGCAGGTCAAAAAAAAATGATCATATCTAACTTTTTGATGCAACCTAGTATAATAATCCTAATTATTGAGATTAGAACATAAACCGCATATTTTTTAGGGTATACTTGAGACACTCATGTCTGTCTCAATAATATATGTTATAGTCTAATATTGATAGATCTCTATATAAAACTCTATATAAAACTGATGAATTTTACATTACTATATTATTTTATATAAATAAACATTACAATTAATTTTGATTTAGTTGAAATGACATTAGATGCGCTGAACTATGTTATTGCAGAGTTAGAAGTTGTTGACAAGACACTATGCTCGTGAGTTACTATAAGTCATTTTTTTGTTTTTAAAAAACTTTATTTTAAATCTGAAAAAAAACTTTTTATCTAAATAAATTATTTACTTAAAGTACTTCACTTATGCCATGTTGTACCACGTTAAAAAATAAAAATAAAATATGAAATTCAAACTTGAGACAAGTTTGTTATTGAATGATACCTTTGTATTGATGAATATAAGGATAAAGTTTTAGTGAAAATTGTTGAAGTAAAATAAGGCATTATAGATTACTTTGCAAATAAAGTTTTTTTTGTAAAGGTTGAGAAGCCATTTGAGATTGTAATAGTTAATTGTTATATAAAAAAAAAATCTCAAAAAATAACCTTAGGCCTGTTTTGGCCTGCTTTTTTCCCCTGGGAAACCTGAAAATCATAGTTTTTGTTTTGTTTTTGAATTCAATGGTTTTAAGCTTATTTTTTCAATGCACCCTAACCCTGCATTAAATTGGTTTCTTTGTGTTTTTAGTTTCATGTGTATATTGTTTTGAACTTTTTCTTTTAGATGCTATCAACCAGTGCTTAGTAAACTTGTAACTAATGGCACTTCCAAGGAGGCCAAATTTTCATTACGTTGTTTACACACTATGCTAAATGATTCATCTAATGTAATGGAGAGGTTATTCAAGGTAAATTTTAGTTAATAAGTTATGTTAAACATTATAAATAATGTTTATATGTAGAACCAAATCTTTGGGAAATTTTTAGGCAATAAAATGAGTTATAATCTATATATAAATTTTTATTAATTGCAAGGTAAAAAAGAACTTTTAACAGAGTAAAAAAGAACTTTTAAAATTTTTTGGCAATGTAAATTTTAGTTAATAAGTTATGTTAAACATTATAAATAATGTTTATATGTAGAACCAAATCTTTGGGAAATTTTTAGGCAATAAAACGAGTTATAATCTATATATAAATTTTTACTAATTGCAAAGTAAAAAAGAACTTTTAAATTTTAATTACTTTTAAATTTAAAAACTACTTAAATTTAAAAATAACATGTTACAGCTAAAAATTTGGACAAACTTTGAAAATGAATATCTTTTGAACGGAGTTATCAATTTTATAAATTTAAATAGCGTAGTAAAAAAGAAATATGTGTTTTACAAAATAAAATAAAAATTATTTGTTTATCAATCTTTTTAGCCAAACACAGTTAACTCTTATAAAAGTACTCGTCCTGAGCCTATGTACCTGATTTTGATCAATTTTTTTCATACAATACTCTATTCAATTTCTTAGTTGGAAATTTTTAGCTTACTAATTGTCTGCATACACCAATCTTTTAATTTCAGCCCAAAAATTCTTGATCAGAAGAATATAATAATAAATCCTCAAATTCAATTAAATTCAAATACATTAGCAGGGTTTATGTATCTAAGCACATAATTGATATTTTTGTGTTTTAGGTAGTCTTGTACTTTGTATGAATAGTATACAGAGGCTAGATCAGACCAAAGCACAATTTCATTGTTTTTATGAACCTTGTTATAAACTTCTTTAATTTAACCAGGCATTTGGAAATTTACACATCCTTGTCCACTGCTTTGCTTGAAGGACCAATGTAATGTTAATGATGTTTGAGACCCTTTTCTCTGACAAGACTATTCAAACTAATAATTTTGCATTTTTCTTTGAACTTGACCTCATTAGGAATTGCATTGAGATCAGAAGTATAATATCCTGCGTTGCCAGTAAGCTCAGTGTTGCTCAAAGGAAAATCTTATCACAAATATTTTCCGTAAAAATGCAACCAATTTTCAGAACTAAGGATGCACAGTAGCTTTCTGAGCCAATGTTCTTTTTGACGCTTTAATTTTTTTATGATATTGAATACTCGTCTTTTTATTGATAATTTTGGATATACACTGCTGGGAAACATTGGTTGTTTTTTTTGTTTTGTTTTTTTGTTAATTCACCTCCTTAAGGCTGAAAAGGCCACTATAGACAAGGAGGCTACTTATTTTGGTTTAGCTACGCTGTCAAACACTGTCTTTTTATCAATCAATTTTTGTAGGCATTTCTTTTGCAGTCTAACCACTTCTAATTTTTCATTTTGGTCATATATTGATCTTCTTTCGTTGCAGTATATCACAGCCTAATTAATTATTATTGAATAATCAAGAGTTCCTCTTGATTATTCAATCTTTTAAACATATTTAATTAAGCTCAAAAAAAAAAAAGACTATGGTATATTGTGGAGGAATAAATTTGCAATGTAATAGGTAGGATTATTAGTTGTATGTTACATATCTCGCATTACATATCATGAAATTAAATTTTTGATTATTTGAATTGTAATGTTTTATATTACAACTCAAACATTTAATTTGTTTCAAGATATGTAACTGTAATTGTAGTTTGTTAACAAAATTAGTTATTTTGTAAACTCCACAGTTCATAGAAATAACATTTGGAACTTTTACTTATCCCCTGATACAGTTTATTTTAAATAATATTTAATTTTTAAATTGTTGGCATTTCTGATTTAAAATAGTTAAATATTTACTTTATTGTTGGAATGTCAATTGTGTTAATTTATTAAATGTCTTAGTAAAATAATAAACTAATTTTTAATAAAGTTATTTTTGAAAATTATATAATTGTAGAAAAAAATGTTTTAAAAGGTTTAATCTGCAAAACCAGTAAATGCTTTAAAAAAATTTTGCGGCTTTTAAAGTATAAGTTTTGAATCTTCTGTGAGTCTATGTTATGTGAATATCTGTGACCTATGTTCAATATAACTTCTGTGAGTTTATGTTATGTGAATATCTGTGACCTATGTTCAATATAACTTCTGTGAGTCTATGTTATGTGAATATCTGTGACCTATGTTCAATATAACTTCTGTTGTGCGCAAAATATTTGAAAAATATTGATTGCTCTAGCCTTTTCTGTTTTTCTTTATTTAATGAAACCTTTGAAGCAATTGATAACTTATTTGATGACTGACATTTTTGAAGTTTACTTTCACAACATAAAAATTTAACACGTCGATGCTTAGTTCTTGAAGAATACTCTTGAAAGTCAGTAGTTGGTGATCGACCAGTGTTTGCAAACACATCGATATTTGAAGAAATCTGAAACCATTTACTTTATATTGACAACCTTAAAGGACTTTAATTTGAAAAAGAAACAACTGATTTACTAATCATTGAAGAAACTACTTTGAAAGATGAGATCTTTAATCTTGTATAACCTTGTGTTGAGTTATTTAGTAACAATTCTATTTCAGTCAAACATATCGTTCAAGTTAAAATGATAGATAGCAAAGTCCATTCTGTCTTATCGAATGTAACAAGCTCTATTCAATTTTGCTGTATGTGTGGATGTTTACCTAAAGACATAAACAACATCGATAAAGTTACGAAACTTCCTTATTTACTGGATTAGCTTCAATGAGGATTTACTACACTTTTCATGTATTAGATTTTCATATTCAATACAAAAAGTAGAGCAAATATATATTATATTAGAATAATAGTAAACTACAATTAAATTTGTAACATTACTCGGAGTTTCACACTTTATGCGATCATCAGACGTTAATGTCATCAGACTGAGAGCTCTTGCATCGTTTTATGACCATATAAACAGTAGTTTTGCTAGATTCAGATGCTTTAGCAATTGAAAGTAACGATCCAGAAGGATTTTGTAGATAGTTGTGCAGAATTTTTTTTCTTTTTTCTAACTGTTCTAATGACATTTAAGATTAGAAAAATATTTTGACAGCTTTGTTGATTTTTTCAATTAATATTATCATTACATAATGTAATTATGCAAAAAAAAAAAAATGTCAAATGTGTTAGTGAGAAGTTTTAAAACAAAATTCATTGTTCCAAATTTAACAATCGCATGCTTTATACTTCTAATTGTTCTCGAACTAATAGTAAGTCTCCTTTCCATAGCAAGTTGTAATAACCTTGCAGATGTTGTGTGGGGCTATTAACAACATTCTTTAAAAAATGGTCTTCTTGTGATGTACTCACAGGTTTTACCACAGTTTTTGCAATTTGATGAGTCTTGCACATGTAAAGCATTTTGCACGGCACACCTCGATATTTTAAAGTGTTTTGCTATACTACTTTGAGAATAACCCTCCGAAATAGTGCATTTATTTTACCTTTAACAAAGTTATTAATATCACTCTTTTTACCCATAATATCACTCCTATGGTAACCTGACAGTGTAAAATAAATCAAAATATCTTCAAAAATGAAAATATATAATAAAAAAATTATTTGTATCCAAGTTAATAATGCCAGAAATAAACAATAAGTTAAACAAGTTTAAAAAACGTTTTTTTTTAGGGAATTCTTTAGTGAAACTCAAACCGTTCCCTAATTTTATAATTTAGTATTTTTTTTTTTATTCTTTATTTATGGTTCTTTTGTAATTTAATATTTTTGTAATTAAGTTATGTCACTATAAAAACCAAATATTTTTGTTGTATTTAGAATCTTCTTGAAAAGTTAAATTTTGATGTTGATAGTAGCCAATTACAAGCAATACTTTCTGCACTTGGTGAAGTTGCGATTTTGGAACCTAGTGTTTTTGAAATTAAACATAAAGTGGTTATCAGCAACTTTGTTGTAAAACAGCTTCTTATTGTTGATAGGGTATAAAGTTATAATAAAATATTTTATAAAATGAGAAATAAAACTGTTAAATTGAACTTATTGATAAGAAACTAATTTATTTTGCAGAAAAGCCATAGTTGTTGTAAAAAAAATTTTAACTTTTAAAGTTAAAAAAACTAACAAAAAAGTTTTTTTTTGTTAGTTTTTTTAACTTTAAAAGTTACATGACACAATCTGAGTTTTTTTGTTCATTACTAATTTTTTTTTGTTCAATTTTATAAAAGAAATTTAAATAATTATACTATGTATTAATGTGTTTTTTTAATCTTGAAAAGGAGGAACCAAGCAACTCTCAAGAAGATAATGAATGGCATTCTAATGTTTCTCAAGAAACACTTACCAAGGTTCAATAATTTTCATGAAGTTTTCATTAAAAAAAAAAAGAATATTTTTTAATTAACAGTTTTTTAAATGATCTTCAAGTGTCAAGACAAGTTGTGTTTATATCTTAAATAATCCTTAAAAAATAAGTTTCAAGTTAATTAAACTTTATTATAGTAACTTTATTTATCGAGATACATTTGTTATATTTGTTAACACTTCAATTTGTTTGTTTTTTTCTCTCAAAGGTAAGCTTATTTTGGTTGTTTTTTTTTTAAATAAAATTTTAAAATAGAACAGGCTTGATTTTTTTTTTTTTTTTTTTTAATTAATACTGGTCTGATTAATGTGCTTTTGTTGTTGATGAAATATGTCAATACAAAAATTTTATTTAAATAACTTTAAATCGAGTTATAAGTAGATAAGATATGCCGGTTCTAGCTCATTTTCATTTTCAACCATATTTTCAACCATATATTAATATTAATATAGGGTTCATTTCTAACCATGATGTGAATAATTATTTATATAAGAAATAAATTTTCAATTTTTTAAAAAATTGAAAAATTGAATTTTTTTAAAATAAGTGTTAATTTTTTATTTCTTGTCGGAAAATGTCACGTGATTTTCTTGCTGTGACGTCACATGACTTTTTCTAATAATAAATATTATCTGGTGTTTTTAACTTTTCTTCTTCTAATCTTTCCTTTTCTAACTTTTCAGCTTGTAATTTAAATTTATTTTGCAAATAACGAGCTAAACTTAATCTTCTTTTATAACTTCCTAATTTAATATCTACATCTTTACTTGCACAATCCATTTCTTATAATTTATGTAAAGAAATTTATTTTCAATTTTTTTTCTTGCTATCGCAGATTGCTCTTGTGCGCTAATTGATCTTTCAGATCTGTGCGCATGCGCTGGGATTTATTTAAAATTTTGTTTATGTGTAGGAGCATTGCTTAACTTTATCACTACTAGGTTTAATAGTCACTACGTGTATCAAAAGTATTAATATATTTATTTCTCACAGCTAAATTAAAAAACCTTTCTGAACCTTTATACCCTAATTCATGTAAATATTTAATTATTTCAAGGTAACTACCTGTACCTTTACGCCCTGATTCATGTGAAATCTGGTTATTTACTGCACAATTAAATGCATATTCATTTCCTTTATACCCTAATTCATGTAAATATTTAATAATTTCAAGATTTCCACTTTCAACAGCAGAAAATATTGTCCATTCATTTCCTCTATAACCTAACGAATGTAAATATTTTAGTACTTCAAGGCGACCTTTTTCTGCAGCACACTGAATTGTCCAGTTTGTTGCTCTATAACCTAACGAATGTAAATATTTAAGTATTTTTAAGTGTCCATTTTGAGCAGCTTTATCTATTGCATATTCTATACCATTATAACCTAACGAATGTAAATATTTTAATATTTCAAGTTGACCTTCTTTTACAGCATTATCTATTGCATCTTCTGTACCTTTATACCCTAATTCATGTAAATATTTTAATATTTTAAGTTGACCTTCTTTTACAGCTTTATCTATTGCATCTTCTATACCTTTATAACCTAACGAATGTAAATATTTAAGTACTTCTTCTGTACTTTTTTTACCTAATTGAATTAATAATTTAAATAAATCAATTCTTCCTATACTTTTAGCAAAATCAACTTTATTACCTCGTTTATACCCATAGTTTTTTAATATTGTAGTAATATAATATATTTGAGTTGAATGTTTTATTAAAAATTTATTATTCTCAATATTATTTTCTTGATTCATTCTTTTTTATATACACAAGAAATTATTTACCTCATTTTCAATTTTTTTATTTTTGTAAAAAAATAAAATAATAAAAGATTGTTAATTCTGTGTAGTCTCATCATCTTCATCTTCATCATTATCATATTCTGTAGTTTCTGTAATTTCAGTAGTTACTGTAGTTACTGTAGTAACTTCTTCTTCATCTTCATCATCTTCATATTCTTCAGTCATTTCAATATCATCTTCATCAACATATTCAGTAGTTTCTGTAATTTCAGTAACTTCAGTAGTAGTAACTGTAGTAACTTCAGAATCTTCAGTCATTTCAATATCATGAGTATCAATAATATTTAATTTTTCTTCTATTAATCTTAATCTTTCATCTATTAATTTTAATAATTCTTCAAGTTTATTTTCCATTCTTTTTATATACATAAGAAATTTATTTAACTCATTTTTAATTTTTTTGATTTAAAATATTTTTACAAATAATAAAAATAAAAATGAATGATGATGAGATTAATGAAATATCTGAATTTCAAAAAGAATTTAAACTTTTTGAAGAAATATTAAAATTTGAATTTGAAGAATCAGATTCTGAAGATGACACTTATTATACATCTGATGAAGCTACTTATTTTACATCTGATGATGAAGATGAAGTTAAAGAAAAACCTATAGTTCCAATTCCTTTAAAAACAGTTCAAATCATGGAACTGCATAAAGATAAGCTGAAATGGATTAATTATGTTCCAACTTATAATGTTATTAATGATGATTATCCTGCTATAGATAATACTTCTTTTAAAAAACATTACAAAAAAAGAAAATTTAGTTTTGAAAAACCATTTAATGTAGATATTAATTTTACTGAAGATGGAAAACCTTCAACAATTCATTTTGTAGAAAAACTACCCATTTTCTGTAAAAATATTTTAAATGATAATTTCTGCCCTTTTGGAAGAAAATGTAAATACAATCATGATATTCCTTATTGTAATACTGTAAAGGAAAGATTAATATGCACTAAATCTTCATGTCAATATAGACATATTCATATTTGCTCTGAATATCCTAAATGTAAGAATAAAGAATGTGTATTATTTCATCCTAAAAAGTCAGAATTATCTAAATTAAGAAAAGCTAAAACTAAATTATGCAAATATATTCTTGATAAAAAAGAATGTAAAAATATAAATTGCAAATATGCTCATTCTAAAAAAGAAATTGAAGAAAATGTAGAAATTTGTCATTATACTCCATGTAAATTAGTAAATAGTAAATTAAAGAAAAATAAAAAAGGAGAAAAAATATTATTATATAAAAATATTAATGATAATAAAAAGTGTTATTTTTTACATCAAGGTGAAAGTATTTTAAATTATATTGTTAGAACTTTAAAAAAATGAAAAAATATCATACTTTAAAAGTATTATATTTAGAGTGATTTAAAAAAAATCTTTACATTTTAAAAATGTATAAAAGAAGAATGTTTTTAGATTATGAAAAGCATGAAAAATATACAATAACTTTTGATATTAATTCAGATTTAGAACATATAGCAATAAATGATAGACATATTAAAGTATTTGCACAAGAAAATTTTACATTAAAATTAAATTCATACAATAACATTTCTTTAATGTGTGGAGTCAAAATAGATAAAGGACATGTAATGATTTTACTTGCAGAAAATTATAAGCCAGCACTAAATTTACTAAATTCTGTTGTAATAGAGTCTACTGATGATATTAAAATAACTTTATATAATAACGATAAAAAAGATATAAATATTAAAAAAGGAGATTTGTTATGCTGTATTTTATCTTATAATGGTGTTTTTAATACAAATCATATATCACATAGAGCTGCTTTAGAACCTGATAAAAAAGTAGAAGCTAAATCACAAAGTGATAAAGAATCTGTAAAATCTATATTATCAAGTATAGGAGAAATAATTAAAGAAACTATATGTGATGAAGATAAACCTAGTATAGATAAATCTGACAAAGCTCTATTTGATTTTGGTAAATAAAAGTGATTTAAAACAAATTTTTCTTTATAGAAAAAAGAAATGCTATGTAATAATGAATGTAAACAGCTTTATCCAGATCTTAACCAGTTTTCAGAAAATCCATCTGCACCACCACTATCTATAGATCAGAGATATCGATTAGATAAAATAAGTGAAATTCAAAATAAGTTAGAATGTGAAAGAAATAGAAGAGCTATGCTAAGTAAAAAATATCACAGAGCTGTAAGAATAATTTCAGCTATCGATAATTCATTACTTGCAACTACTATGACACTTGGAGCTGTTGTTATTGGTATTTTATTAACAATAGTTGGAACACCAGTAGCTATTGCATGTGAAGGTGCAGCATTAGGTATGGGTGTATTATCATTAATAGGGTCACAAGCTATTAAAAAATTAACAATAAAAGCAGAAAAGCATGAAAAGATTAAAGTACTAGCTGATGCAAAACTAAATACAATAAGTCGTCTTATTTCTAAAGCTTTAAAAGATGGTTTTATCGATGATGTAGAATTTCATATTATAATTTTAGTGCCTGAAGAGTTTCAAGATATGGCTGATCAAATTATAACAAAATTTAAGAAAGATATAGATGAGCAGACTAAAGAGTCAATATTTAATAAAGGAATAGAAAAAGGTACAAATGATGTCATTGAAGTGTTAAATATGAGATTTAACAAAAATCAGAATATAGGAATGATGAATAATACTCTTAAGAATTAAATAAAAAAACATATATTTTGTATTAATTGAACATATATTATGTATTACAAACATAATATATGTTGATTTAATCCATTTAGGGATCTGATAATCACATTGTGATTTAAAAAAATTATTGCATATATAAAAATGTATGCAAAAGCTACAGATATTGATGCAAGATTAAAAATAGCAAAAGAACTTGATGGGTTAAAGAAAAGTGTTTATCAAGATTCTATTAATGAAAAGTTAGGTTATGATACTTTACAGACTAACTTGGAAAAATTGTACAAGCCAATAATAGATAGTCAATCTGGAATAAAAGAAGGTATATCTAAATTAGAAAATAAAGCTGATCAAATAGCTAATACTTTTTCAAGTTATCCTGCTTTACTAGATTCTGAAACTAAATCAATCATGCCACCTGAAGTTGTAGATAAAATGTCATTAGGACCTATCGCAGCAGAATATCTAAAGTTATATACTGCTAAAAATAGTAAAA